AAGACAAGCCCATAGAAGAGGAAGCTTTTGCTGAGAATGAAGCCATCTCTATTGATAATTTTTTTACCATTGACAGTCAGGATTGGAAACATTGTTCTGGTGTTTGGATAGTTGTGTTGACAAATCAATCCATGTATTTGCCAAGGTCTCCAGAAATAAAGCTCTGCAGAATTTGGCTTTGACAAAGAATACTGAGTCTGCTGTCTGGAAATTCTCAAACAAYGTGATTTGATGGAAACCAACTATCAAGAGGGGAGGAATATGTGACAGTGCAATTTCAGGGTATGCTATCATAGGAGTCCACCCTGAACGGACATCTTCCTCAATCATTGATTAGGCGTTCAAGCCTAGTAATGCTCCCAAGGAAATACGTKAAGAACTGGAAGCTGGAGCTGCTAATATTCTACAGAAGCTGCAGCTCCAGAGAAGAATAACTCCTTTAAACAGTTTTTTGTAGAAATAGGGTTCAATTATGAAGGAAATGGTTCTGATTACTTTGCATCCAGACAGAYTTGTTTGAATACAATTTAGTTTAGAATTSAAGCCAACATTTAACTGTTCAAAGGAATTGTCCCATGGACTCTTTGATCTACCAAGATGAACCCTCATTTCTTCCATGAACTTGCTGAATTTGTCAATATGAAAACATCAAGCTGGTATATTAGATGAATAATACAGTCAGGTTATTTAATGACAAGAGCTGCTGTGTCTTGGATGACAACTTGTGCAAGGTCACTGATGAACAGGAGGAAGCATCATGCTGTTGCACAAGAAGTGTYATTTGCTTTATTTCYGTCAAACTTTTCCCTTGCCTGTTGCAGCCAAGGGAAAAAAGGATTGGCAAGGTCTTGAGGTACAGAGAGCCCYATTCTTGGATTCCAATTGATGTGTCTCTTCAGATGTGCCTTGCTACAGATAATTGCTAGAGGAATCTTTGTGGAATACYGTGTCTCCTGTACATTTAGACCCCAGTTGCCAAGATTACTGATKTCTTCTCTAKGGTCCTCATTGAGCTTGCATTCATAGGAACCCAAAACASGACTGRTGTGAACATAATGTGCTGWTTGYATTCTTTCTTTTTTAYAGAATTTTTTTGACAATATGTCTYGCAATTCATACATTTTGTATTACTATCTTCATGGTTGAATGCTGTTAACAACTTGATGTTGAACCAGAGGAGAAAATCTGGGATTTGTKGGGTCGAAAAMGCTGTGCTCRAACTCTGCAAAAAACAAATCAGCCCATAACAAAGGGGTCCTTACACAATCTCCTGTSTGCTGTGTTGTTTGCTCAATGATTAGCTACTACCATGCATTAAATAACTGAGAGGTTCTAGAACTGAGTTACTCTTGGTGACCGTTAGCTTAGCTACCGCTGTGTGTTTTACGAAATGCCTATCGYGCTAACTTCCGAATAATTGGACTACGTGATATTTTTTGAATTCTTCTTAGTTGCTCCCGTCTTGTAGGCAAAATAGTATCTGCGAATTACTTTCAGTTGAATTCGCCTTGGTCTACGATCATTTGCTCTCATGGTCACAAACGTGTGATTCAAGGTCTCGTAGGCCCCTGTAGGCCCCGAGAAGCTCTTTTATAGAAGGACCTGTGCCGTCCGTGAGTGACTTTCTCGACAAAAAGTATGGTCCGACGGTGACATAAGGAAAAGACCCTTCGTCCACTTGTTCCTGGATGCTCTGTTTGTTGTCATTGACCAACGCGTCGATCGATTCTTTATCCTGGTTAATGCCACTTCTCCCGGTACAACCAACTTGTAGTGCAGTRTCCTTTCTCTTGCTTTTACGGTGCACGGGTCTCTTTGGGATAGAATTGAGAGTCGCAAGTTCGCCGGGCTTGTTCAAGACTGGCATATGAGATTTGTGAGCTGGGTGATTTTGCTGTTGATTTTGCTGTCGACATTGATGCCGCTGTCTCTTCTTTCTTTGGACGCTCTGATTGATGGCATTGMCGAACTCAATCGTGTCGACCGATTCGTTATCCTCGTCATTGCTTGTTCTCCCGGAACAACCATTTGGAAACTCAATCGTGTCGACCGATTCGTTATCCTCGTCATCGCTTATTCTCCAGGAACAACCATTTGGAACATTCATGATGACTGGTAGTGCGGTGTCCGTTATATTGCTTTTACTGTGCAAGGGGCTAATGATAATCGCATGATCGCCGGGCGTGTTCAAGGAGTCTATGTTTTGCTTGCGCGCCTTCTTTTTCCAGCTATCCTTGCCATCATCCATCGACATCCCAGGCCGCTGTTTCTTCTTTGGCATCCTTCGGCTGGTGTCCTCGTCGCGTGGTCGATGATAGTATGGTTGATCATCGGTCGCAGCGCTTGTTGACCAATCGACCGCAGGGCGGGACGAAAGACGCTTCTGTCGGCACCCATGCCCCGGTCGGGACGACACCACGGTTGAGGGATCATTCATCACGCGCGGATTTTCGGTTTTGTAATTGCTGATGCTAACAGCGCTTGCGAGCACTACCGGCGCCATCAGGGATGCGTAAGGGTGGTCTTCCCATGATTGCTTCTGTTCCTCTTGATGRAGCAGCGACGATTCCATGATGAATTGTTTCTTAGAATGTGCGATGTTACTCTGAACGACAGAACGTTTGAGAATGCTTTCCTGAACGATTTGAATAACTTGATGCGCGCAAGCAGCTTGTGTCATCAACGGTTTTTCTTTAACCAATCGTGGCTCAGAAATATTGAATGTGAAATAGCTTGATGAAGCTTCTTTCATCAATTCATCAACCAGTTTAAGCTTCAAACAGCGAAGATCAAAATGTGAACTTCCAAAATGTCCCGGTAGAAAGTCTACAAGGTTCTACTGAGCTGTTTTTGGAGTTTAGAACTTGAAATTACAGTATCACTTATTGCTCTCTGGCGGAGTCYGGTTTCAATTGTTACGAAACTCGTAGTAAGCTGCTCTGACCAAAGACAGCTTGTTTTCTCAATGGACATTTTTCGGCAAGGTCTTTCGCGCGCAAGAAGCTCATGTCATCCACGGTTTTTTTTTAAACCAATCGTTGCTCAGAAATATTGAATGTCACTACGGGGAACCGTAGGAAGTAGAGGACCTATAATTGTACACGTGTGCCCTAATAGCTTGGTGACACGTGGCCATGTATTATCTATTTATCAATTTTTTAATCTCGATTTATCCCTGATTTTTCCTCTGTGTATTGTCTATTCTCTTTTTATTGACAGTTTCCTTCAGTTGGCCGAGGAACAAAGAAAATTAATATTCACTATTGTCCTTACCTACCAATCCTTATCTACCAAAAACAGATCATACGAAGAGTTTTGAATGGTCGCACGGGAAACCATAAACAAGTTCGCGGGAAACCTAAAACAAGTTCGGAGAGTCTTGAGATTCGTGGTTACCGTGTGTTAATTGAGTCTCCAACGCCAATTTCTAGAATTTTGAGAACGGCGTTCTAGACATTGCCACCACAGGACAAACATTTTATGCAAGACACTACATGGTCACGTCATTGCCAAGGTTGTCAAGAATTGCTTCTGGCAAATTAATTAAGTATTACCTGTAAAATAACAATTGAAATTACTTTAGCTAGTTGAGGTACTGGGAACGTTTACTATTTTACATTCTGAATGTCAGCAGCAGCATAGGCTGTGTAGTAGAAATGAGTACTCCTGTGTTTTTTGCTTCAATTTAACGTCCTGAATACTCTGCTTTGCAGTCTGAATATTGGCAGGAAAGGATGTCCTTCTCCCTCATTTTTAAGGTATGTGCAGGACCCAAATAATTGTTTTGGGAGGGTAGCATGCTACCACATTTAAGAATGCTGGTTATTGAAATACTATGATCTACGTACTAGGCCTAAGCGATAAATTTAACATTCTGTATGTTAAATTAACATTTGGAATGTTAAATTTAAGTTCCTAATGCCTCAATTAACCCAATTAACAAAACTTAAATTGTTATTTTACGTGTAGTATGTAGATTACGCATGTGATATRATTGGCAACCTGCTGGTGCGGTACGTGTAATCTGTATGTATTCTGATCTGTATTCTGGAAAAACTCACTTACCAGGGCTTGAGTGYGCATATTTCCTTCTCTCACTTAAGGTGAGTTTTTCTGGAATACAGATCAGAATACATACAGGTTACATGAAGTAATGCTACTGAGGACAAGGACAAGGTCAAGAGCGTTAGCTTGAGACCAACAAGACCGAGGCTGAAGTTAGATTACTTCAGCAGTAATCAACTGAGGATGAGGTCGAGAGAGTTGAGCTCACCAAATATTTACGYAATCAGCAAGTTTTCTGGCTTTTTGCTTGTATACAAAGAAGACGCTGCTAGATACTACAGATGCTGCTAGCAGATACTGTGGATGCTGCTGGATATGGAGGATGCTGCTGATACGAGTTGCTGATATGGAGGATGCTGCTGATACGAGTTGGTGCTGCTGGATACGGAGGACGCTGATACTGCTGATATGGAGGATGGTGCTGATACAGAGGCTAGCTAGCTGATAGTACAAGTTGCTGATATGGATGATGATGCTGGTATGGAGGATGGTGCTGGATGCGGAGGACATTGATACTGCCACCACCAGTACTACTAGTACTAGTAGTAGTACTAGTACTACAAAATAATAATACTCAAATTTTTGTACTATTATGGTTCAGCCAATCTACTAACATTTTTGTGGCAAAAACCATGTTGGACCAGTATTCAATTTCTGGAACACAGTAATCCTGTGAGCAGGCATGCACTCCATTCAGGTGCAAGAAATAGTATTAAGACAAAAAATAAATACCAGTGGTGTTTCTTAGTGCGGGGTGATTTTAGTATCACTCATAGTAATCTTGGGCGTGTAAATGCAAACAAAAAGCAAGCAGCTGGTCAATTACAAACTTATTTGTATTTTTGTAGTATTGTGTCTACAATTGCATGACCAGGAAAAGTTCCTAACTGTGAGGTGTTAATCATTACTATGGCAAAACTGCCTTGATGTTCATCTACTACTACTACTAGTACAATCTGCTAGTACAACAAAAATAAATAATTCTCTGTGGTTTTCAAACGATTGTGGCCGATTTTGTGGCCAACTTCTTTGAGAAAGCGAAAACTTTTTGTCGAATCATGTCACTACGGGTTATGGATACGTAGTGTGTCGGACATGTCGTACGTACGTAACGTACGGTACGTACAATTGCTATCGCTTTTAAAATAGAAGTACCAAAACAACAGCCACAACTAGAATCGACACCACAAACGCAACCAACAATGACGAGTTCTTGGTCCCGACGTCCGGTCCCCTCTCTTCAGCCGCTGATAACCGTTCTTCTGCTGTTCGTAGCAACCAAMTTTTACAACTGCAACCACAATTGTAGCTGCAATCTGGCTCGGGCCACAGCTACCAAGAACGAAGAGACGAGCCATGGCAAGCTCCCGACCCACATGGAACCCGATGTCCGACGCTACCAGGGCGTCCTTCCCAACGAAATCTGCGATCAATTAATAGAACTGGGCGAAAAGGAAGGGTTTCCATTAGAGTTTGATTCGATCGACGCAGAGCAACACTCCTACAAGACGAACCAGGTCAGCCAGGCGATCGACGTCGTGGACGAAGATGGAACCGTCAACTACCCGGAGATGTTTGCCCTTTTGGAACCATATATCCCCAAAATGGCAGAGCTCATTGTAAACCAGCGCGACGAACAAATCCACCGAAAGGTAGTTGGGGAGATGACGCAACAGACGCCAAGCGATGATTCCAACGATCCGTTTCTGCCGAAGTTGGGATGGATCTTCTACCGAAAGTACGCTCCGGACAGCAAGCGGAACTCGCTGATTCCCCATTTCGACAGCAATCTCCACACGATCAATATCGCGCTAAACGACGACTTTGAGGGTGGGGGGGTATTTTACATCAGGCCCGCGTACGCYAGAAACCCCGATTGGAGGGATCCCAAAAGGCATAACGACCTCTACAGGGGAATCGACGGAGACGGCGTCCCGGATATTGAGGACCACCAACTCACCTACCGGTGGGTCAACAGACTCAAACACGAAAACACCTCCGACGTGGTCTTTCCGTTGCTAAACAAGGGCGACGCCSTGATCCATAACTATACCGTCTGGCACGCGGTTGCCCCTCTCACCAAGGGAATACGCTATTCGATGGTTCTTTTTTTCGACATGCACAATCCACTCCTRCCTGAGTACTCGTACGATGACGACGATGAGTACGATGGCGACGATCACGAARGCCAAAACGAGGGGCAAGACGATGACGACAACGGCTACGATAGTGGCATCGAGGAGGATCACAGCGAAGACAACATCTACCGAATRCAAATTACCCTTCGACACGGACTGAAGGAATGCGATCCCGCTACCGGTACGGTCGTTCCGATGAAAGACAACGTCCACATAGTATTAGTGAACCGGACCGAGCTGGAGAGGCAGAAGGGGGAGCAAACCGAGCACGACGTTGACAAAATCATGGTGGGAAAAATTTCCGACGGTGATGGCGAAAGCAGCAGCCAGAACGACCTGTTTGCCGTGGTCGCCACGAACCTGCGTCCCGGTAATTTTTATAGAAATAACTTGAGTGTTCCYGGTGAAATCTATCGGGCAATCCGGTCCAAGAGATTGACAACTACGGAAGGATCAAACATACAGAACAAAGAGCACGGTGGATCTGAGGTGTTCGAGGTACTTGATGAGTTCCGAGTAACCATAGGAAAAAGGTATTACGAATATGCCAACTCTGAGGAAGCTTCAGAGGAATGCAAGGCCGCGCATCTGGCCTCCAGTGTCGGTACGGYGGGRCATTCCCCCGAGCGCGACAGCGACGCCAAACAGGGCAGTACCAACGAGCTGTGAGGGGCGACCCACCACAGCGCAGCGCACCGAAGCAAAAAAAACGAGCAAGCGAGAAACACGAATCGGTGGCTGATGATTACGTTACKTTTGATCACTTCCACGTGATCTTGGATTGTCGGTTCTTAAAAAATAKAGTTTTTAGGAAGGCACCCTTCCGCATATGATAACAGTTATCCAGAAAACTACCAAAAGTTACACAGCAGATATAGCTTTATTTTATCTACGAGTCTCTCTCTTGGACAGAGCATTGTCCGAGAGAATCAGATGCACAACACTTTATGCTATATTTGAGAGAGACAACAATTCCTATCCTTTTATTTTGTATCACCRATGGTTAAAGGGTCATCTATGCGTGCATGCAGTCCGTTGCATACGCATTCCTTCGAAATTCATGAAAGAAAACAGTGGCACAAATATGGTAGTTGATGGTATCGAATACGTGCAAGAAACGACACGAATGATAATAGGAGGCATGGTCTGGTACCATAAAAATGATATTTCAGGGGAAAGAGGCACGTGCACCATAACACATGATACTAAAATAAAATAAGTAGCCAAGTTGTAGGAGSTACKCAAACAAGCAAATCAGAACACGTACCGTTATSCAGTAAGGAGTGAAAATAGTGCTGTTGGCATGGTCTGGCATTGATGGCAGGTGATCATTTTGCAGCTGGGTTATTCGATGCAAGCACCGGAGTATGGTACTGAAMTACAATCAAGGTGATCTGATTGATTTTAATTTTCTTCCAGAAGCATTACGTTTCAGCCTTGAATCGAATTTACGAGGACTCATTTCTTTCAAGCCTTTCRTCGAAACTAAATTGTAAAAACTGAAAGATCACCTGCTCCGAGTCTCACACAATCCTCACTGGACAATTGAAAAACGCGGAAAATTTTGTTTYGCCAACAACGTTTGTGCCATGCAGTCAACTAAGTAGTATTTCAAAAAGCAGCGGAWAAAAAATTGGCAAAGCCACAGATCTAGAAAGCCAAATATATTCAAATATTCTTCTCGACAACGAATAGCACGTTCTTCCGCCCGTTGCGGTGCTTGTGGCATGTACAATCACTATTATACGCGACCTATCACTTGTTTAGTACTCCCCACCATCGCTAAYCAAGTTGTGGGCGCTGGTGTTGTTTCCCCCACATCMACATTCACCGCATCCACCACTCGCATCGCGATCGACTGACCCACTTTTAAAGCGTTTCCGTTGGATTCCGTCCTGGCGTTCAAAGGCGTAAGTACTAGACCTGGAGATTTGCAGGTTTTGCTGGGTCTTCATCTTCTTCTTGAAATCTCGAAAGGCGTAATTAACCTTGGACTGGATCTCTGATTCCTGAGCCTGCGCACTGGTAAAGGTAAAGGTTGGGATCGTCATGTCTTGCCACCAGCTGTGTTTCGAGTCCCAGGTCAAAAACCGTCCACCCTTGATGCCACGTATCGTATGGATCAATTCTGCAACAATAGCCACCTTTCCCGATTGATTCGCTTTGGTGTGTGCCTCGAGACGAGATTCGATCAGGCTCTGAAACATGGCGTTGCCCGGGTGGTAGATCATGGACTTGCCACGCCGAAARATCACATCGTTCGACCCAGGGCATTCAACAATAAAAAATCGSGGTAACGTAAGCTGGTGTGATGGCTGCTGTCGCTGCTGCTGCTGCTGCTGAACTTGATTAAGCTGATTTTGCTGCATTTGCAAGTATTGCTTCATAGCTTGAGTGTTGCCACCAACGCTGTATTCGATATCCATGGCATCTTCACTRTCAGACGAAATTTGTCCAAATGTTTGTCCAAAACTACACTGAGCTCCATTTCCACCTGACGCTTSATACCGCTCMAAAAACTCTCGCAGTTTGATCCATTGTTTCAGGTTGACRTGCTTGACGTTTCCGGTGTCCGTCGAGGGGATCAGCTCGATCGGAATCCCGTAACTCTTGAGTTTGTACCTTATTTCTATTCCCTCCCCCAAGTGGAATGACACGCGGGACGACCAGGCTCCTAATGACATCCCATATATCCGGGAGAACACAGCAAATATAGGCTTATTGGGTAAACAAAAATGAATCGCGACAACGCGCATCGGGACTGCCTGTCCCACAACGGCGTGAGTGGTAACGCGTGAGGCATGGAATTTTTGCTGCTTGACGTTGCTACTGGCGTCCTCTTCGGACGCGCTTTTCGTGATCTGCGGTCCACTGTAACTAATGACRATCATTCCCTTTCTCTGGCTTTCAACGTCCTCGGCGGCTACCACCCAGAGATACATCAAAACCTTTGTCTATTGTTTTCATTAGGTTTTTGGGAGGGAGGTTGAGTTTGTATGGAATCAGAAAACGTTCGAGGAACAAAAACATGAAGCAACCCAACAATTTAGAAACGTCAATGACAAASTAAGTGCAGATCATTGACAGAGGGCGAGAAAAAGATTGCAGAATCGTCGTATCTCCATGCTATCAACACAAGTCAAATAACATCCCAAACAAGCACAAAAACGAAAACGAAGAAACGCAAAACGTACCCGAACCATATCCGAAATATCGTCCCGGTTGTTGGTCACAATGCATAGGATGCGTCGTCCGCTTCTATCGCGGTAAGGGAGAAGCTGGTAATCCCCGCCTCTCAAAAAGGCCATATCGTCTCTGCTGAAATCGGAGAGGCGGATCGGCCGCATCAATGCATCTGGACCGTATATCTTGTTGACCAACTCAAGGTAGGTGACCATTCGTTGGGCCGCTTTTTTAGGATCAAAGAGCTCGCACCGCAAAAAACCGAGCCGGAATGCGTCCGTGTTCACGTACGCAATGCTGCTGGTTGCACTGTTGCCCCCTTGAGCTGCYCGGTGCATTTCTTGGGCGCGATCAAAGGCAGGCTTTTGTTGGATGCTGTTCAATTCGATGTTCATCGCATAGAGGACTTGCGCACGTAATTGGTGAAATCCAGGGGCATCTTCGTCTGGTGCCATGCACGAAACGCCATGGATCTCCTCGTGGATAGCATTCCGGTCGTTGAAAGAAAGATTTAGGAGGGCCTGGGAGAAAGAGTCGTCTACAACCATATTTTCCGTGCCTTCGCTGGAAAAAGGGCGAAAGCCGTGACTTCTGTTTCCTCCGAGTTCTTCTTTCGTTGAGTTGCTCTCGCTGTTTGGATTGCCTTCTCGAGTTCCACTTGGATTGAGTACCCTTCTTCCCGTATCTGAAATAGGGCTGTCGGGAGCAACAATATTCGGGGAGGAATGATCGTTCTTGCTTTTGTTTGTTGTAGTGGGATACGTTGGTAACAATYGTTTCTGGGTGTTACCTGCTGGAGTGGAAATGCTGTTCTTATCGTCAGTATTATGGCTACAATCAACGCCCGGAACGTCAACGCCAGMGGTGGCAAGATCGGCAATCGGAATTTGATCTATGAAGACTTGCGAAGGAATCGGAGGATAATTCGAGTTTTTCTTGCTTCCTCCGATGCTGTTGTTGCTGTTTTCTTCACCCTTCGACTGCTTCAAAGGTTGATTTTGTTGCTTACTCTCTTCAAATTTCCGAGTGGGCTCTCGCTGTTCTTGATACTGAAGATTGRGACGAGTTGTATTGTCCTCTTTTCTCATCGTCTTGGATTCAACAAGACATACARCAAGRCTCGCAGTTCTATGATTCTCGTTTGGGTGATAATTATTTCAATGCGTTTCCATGTGCTTCGTGGCTATAGGATCATTCGTACCGTAGGTCATCTAAACAACAATTACTGGTTTCACAAAAAAAGTATTTTGAGAAWGATGTTCTCAGCTTAAAACAGATCAACATGACAGCAACGGCCAATAGTCRCTACCGTACCGTAGTTTTGCGATCAAACCAGGAGTAGAATATTTTTTTGGTACGAAGTKGAGTGCAGTACTTATTATTTCGAAAATCGAAACCGTATCGAATTRTGTTTTCGCACTTAACATTCACCRTTACACTGAGGTTTGCTTAACAAAGACTGTTAAGTAGTTAAGCKTKTGCGTTACTTCAATGAAGCASCCATTTTAAAGTCACTTTTCTAATTTGGACTAAAAAGATTTCCTTCTYWTGGATTCTGAGATAAGACAWWTATTACTCGTGATCACAATAATTATTGTTAGATTTTTCATTATATAGTTTACTCGGACGAGCACAATTTGACTAGAAACGACGCCAACAGTACCGTCMGGTACAATCGTTGTTCATCCTCTAATGATAAAAATTGAAGATTCAAAAAATAAGAGAATGCATTAAAGAACGAGAACACACATAGTATCTCGGCAATTTGATTCATTAAACACTTGRAAATGCTCAATTAAGTTGAATCAGAACCGAAAACTTGTTCACCGTAATGAGAGATTGATAGTTGCAAGGGCTCGTTCTTTCCGGTTTCAATACAATGGTTGCGGGATAGGTACGCCATGTACCGTACATACAACGAGTAGCTCAAATCCTTGCCTGGCCTGGTGACCACACCGTACGCTACGTACTTATACTRTACGTACGGTACGAAACTGGATATCGTTCGGTACGTACGGTACGGTACCTTAATTGAGATTTCAACCGTAATCGAAGCTTAACAACAAGATTAATGAGATCATACTATTACTGAGGCYCGACCAACACAAGTCTTCACGGTATCAATCTTTTCCTTTTATGCTTTAATTTGAAGTATTACTTCGAAAGTCGAGATGCACTAAATTGACCCCTCTGAGGTTTCCTTCGACAATAATTCGATTTTTTTTTTATTCTCCCATCTCCATTTCCCCTCTCCCCCCCCCCTCCACACACAAAAACTATTTCTGAAGTAGTAACCTATGAATTTACCTCTCCAGTAGTAAGGACCACTAATAGAAATATTTTGGGACCAGCAATAAATTAAAAAATCAAAAAAAAAATTTCAACTATAAAAATGACCCTAACAATTTTGCTAATGTTTGTGTGGGGACCATAAAAAACCAGCCAGAATTTCGCTCTCCAGTAGAAAAATTGTGGGTCGAAACCGCTGAGGGGTCTATTTAGACCTTCTCCGTAGTAGTCATCGGAGTAGTAAGAAAGAATTATTCATGACAAAAAAAAGCAATTTGAGGTATCCTTGTTTTATGGTAATCTCTGAATATCATTATTTAACTAACCCACTTAAGCATTCGTCAAGCCATTAATCGAAGGGTAATCGAAGTGTAATTGAAGTACAGTATTGGGTCATTCCCGGAATACCAGAGGCCCAKAATTGTATTCACAATTTAGGATTTTGGGTTACAAAATACCCAGATAGTGGAAGTCCACCACCTCTTGACTTCCACCATCTAGGTTTTTTATTCTAGTACATCATATTATGCACAATTTGCCTGCAATGCCTCATACAACTGCTTAAGTTTCATCCCCATTAGTAACCCAGAAGGCCAAATAATAGGTCTGGGTGCCTGCTGTTATACTACTAGTAGGAATGACCTTTTGTTGCAGCGTACTACTAATAATAATAATTTCCATTGCATGTACTATGATCAGCAGGGTTACAGTACCATCTTTTTAGAAGAACCAGAAACAACTGCAGCAAGTACAGTAGGAACAGTACTACAGAGGACCAGTCATGAGTCCACGGGACCGGAACTACACACACACACACAGATATAGTAGCTATATATATATATATATATATATATTCCAACCTATATACTATATACAATATACTACGCTACATGTATATTTATACGAGACACTAGTATATATATAGTAATTCCTTCGACAGTTCTTACCCTCAGAACAAGAATAAGAATAAGAAGCAGAATCAGAACAGAACTAGTAATCGATTGGGAGTTCTGTTCTAAAGCCTCTCAGTACAATCACCACTGAGATCTACATGAGTCAAGAACTGTGGAAAGGAGTTCCTGATTGACTAGTAGTAGTGCTCCAAATAGCAATACTACATTAAAGAGAGCAGTACAACAYGAGAGATCGTGTAGAGGGGATCATTATATGATACATACATCTAATTCATCTCACAATATAAACTAGTAGTAGATAGCAGTTTAAAACACTACTACTAAACATTCTAATCAGTGCATGATATTTTGTGCACCAACAGTATTAGCCAAGTGCTGACATCCATTGCTGCAAAGAGRTGATTATCTGTTGATGCCATTGGAGACTGGCTGGGTGGGAATGTTGTAAAACAAGGTGTGTATTCTCTGGGTGGGAACATAGACAGTGTGTCTCATGAGTTCGTTATTTCCACTGTTTGAGAACTGTGGATGTTGRCAAGATGTGATTGCAGCATTTAATGACAAGAACAACACTCCTAGAAATGTGATTGGTGGATTTCCCTAGTAGAGACTTCCAAGCAATATCAGAAATTGTAGGAGAAGGCCATTGATTCTGTTCTCACAAGTACTAAATTGGTGAAGGCCTTCTGGTATTGGCTGGTGGTTGTACTAGACCATGATTGAATTTGAAGGACTGCAGGACATSTAGGTAGAAGTGKTGAAATGAGATGTGAAGTTGTCATCTTGACATGA